CACAAAGATCTTGACCTAGAAAAGACCAATATCCTAGAACTGCATAGGAGCTACACAGCACTGCAGCCTGCTCAGGCAAAGTCTACAGTGCGGATTCTCAGAGGCATCCTTCCTGAAGTGAGTAGAAAAAAGCAAAAAATGAACATCTATCACCCCTTTCCTCATGGGAGAAGGCTAACAGACCAATGGACAAGTTTCTAATAGATGTTTCATGGGTAACTTTTTATTCTCCAAATGTCAACAGCAATCAAGGAAACAGCAGACGTCCATCACCAACAATAAACTACTGCAAGTGGTCTCCTAAGAGCTTCATCCACAAGCCATATTTTTTTCAGTGTAGAAATGCCATTATAGATTGTTTGTCATAAAAGGCAACATAAGCATCTGACCATTTGTTTCTTGAGAGGTGTGAAGATACTCTGTCCTGTGGTGCCAAAGTCTCCAAAGCAGATTTCCTCTCATCTCTTCAAATCTACGGCTATCAGGCCAAATGAGAAAGCTGCTGTTGTACCACTGCATTGACTGAGATAACTCTGACTAAGAAAGTAACAATAATACTGTGAATTTGGCTGCTTAAAAGTTCCCCAGATCAAGCCAGGCTGAAGGTATCTGCAACATGAAGGTTGGATTTTCTGTTGCAAAAGAGAGCTTCCTCCCTACAAATGGAAGAAGTCTTGTTAGAAAGTAAAAAAACTATCAGCAAGAAAGTTTTACTTCTCAAACAGCAGGAAAAAATCAGTTTGGACTTCGTAGCAAGGACTGGATCCTCCGAAGGAGCTGAACTCGTCTTCACTGTTTCTTGTGGTGTAAACAAAATGCTACCATCAACAGTGCTGGTAATGGGAATGCCACCTGCCTGTACCATCATCTCAGTGGCAGTCAGGCTTCTACAACTACTGAATCATACTTACACAGCAGTCAAGGAGCCTTCTTGGATGTATTGATTAAATATATGCTGTACAAACCTAATGGAGCTCCTCTTCAGGCATTTCTAGGTGCTGCTTCTCTAGATAGCCCTTACAGTTGTCAGCAAATCAGCCAAAAACCCCAGGGAACTCAAACCTTACAACATGGTCCTTCATCTCCAGAGTTCCACAGGGATGAGGTGGGATTGATGTCTCTTCTCATGACATTTTGTACTGAAACTTTCATTTGAATCTAATTATTAACATACATTATTGTTCTCTTCCAAATCTTTATCTAGAAGATATTCCAAGCCATGGATATTTCAAGGGGCTTTGATAGTACCATCACGGTAGAAAGTCTTTAGTCTTTTTGCTCATTTTTTTGTTTCTTTTACAGCTCTGAAGAGCCAAGTCATCCCTTCTTAGAATTACAGAATGGATTACATTACAGCATACACATTGCATGATATTGACTGTTAAGTATTGCCCTTGAAACACTGAAACTGGTTCTCCTGGAGTGCAAATTTTATCCTCTCCTAGCTTCCAAAGCATTCATGCTATAATCAGGATTTGGAAACCCATAAACACAACCTGTTAAAAACTGTTTCCACGACTTGATGGCAAAAGCAGACTCCAAGTCTGATATGTGAGTCAGTATGGAGGTTTAGGAGATTCTGATGCTCCCTGTACCAATTTGGAAGTGGTAAGTCCTTTGCAAACAGCCACCAGTAAGCCTCACTCCCACCTACCCAGGTGGAGCACGATTCTATCAGTTACGTTGTTTGGTGCTGTGGTCGCTGAGCTTGAAAGTATCTCTCTATTGAATAAACCTGTCTTCTTTCCCAGAGACCTCCTGACCTAGGGTCCTGAATTCATGATGGGCATAAGCTGTGCCTTTCACTTTTGTGCCTGTAGGTGCTTTAAAGATGCACACAGTCGAGCAGCAGCTCGAGCGGCCTGTCTGTTTAAAATTTTGGTGCTCTGGTACACATTGAACATAGTTAAAATGAAATATATGCAGGCAACAACATTCTGAGGAGCTTTTCAGACATGCTTTAGGGATGCCTCAGTCTTTATCCTGC